AGACAGAGAAATGGAAATCAAGGTTGGGCAGGCCAGCAAGGGGCTACTAATAGTACTCTGCAAGTGGTATCCAAAATTAGAGCAAGGACCCAAGAAAGAAGGAGGAGAGGCATAAAGGAAGAGATAGAACAGTCCTGAGTGAGGGCATCAACAGCCAGGGCTGATAGGTGAGGTATGGAAAACCAAAAGAGAGGAAGTTTGGTATTGAGGGGTGTGGCAAAGGCATCTATAAGGGAACTTCAAAGTTGGGAGGAGATCCAATGGAAGATTTAAGGATGAAAGGACCATTCTGTGGGTAGCATGATGCTTTGATGAGAAAAATGGTCCACAGTAATGTTCAGTATACCTGGAACAAGATAGCCTACTAAACCCACCCCAAATGGAAGCATCCCAAGAGATCCAGAATCTGAAAGCAGAAGGTCCTGGAATGGATGCCCCCTTGGCAGTTAATATGAGACATGACCACAGAGTTGTCCAAGTGGATCATTACCAAATGATCCCCTGATCTACAAGGAGGAGAAGGAAATGAGAGCATGGCCAACAGACAATGAAAAGTCCAAGGGCACTGATATGTTACAAGAACACAAAGACAGATATCTGTTGGGGATGCTCCCCATCCAGAGAAAGAAGTGTTCATGAAGAGGTAAACATCCAGCTTATGAAGATGTAAGGGAGCACCAGAGGAAGTGTTGGAGCAGTTTAACCACCAAGAAGACCCTCCAGTGGAGAAGGGAAAAGAGGGATCAGTGAGGTGAGTGGGACCATGGAAAGGTTCCATTGGTTGCACAATGTCCAATGTATTTGGTGAACAGATGTCTAGCCCCACAAGCAAACAGCTGAGGTGAAATTTGAAGAGAATCTCCAGGTGGATGAGATATTGGGTGTGAGTAGGGAAAGACTTGGAAATCTTGACAAGCCACCCTAAATGAGTGGTTTCATGAAAAGAAGGGAAGTGTGTTCAGAGAATTTTGCCTGTGAATGGGCAAAGAGAAGCAAATTGTCCATGCAGAAATGGAATCATAGATCCAGACCATGAAGATATGAAGGGAAGACCTGCATAATGCAACTGAAAATACAAGGAGATGATGGTATTTCAAATGGAAGAACACAGAAGTGGAATGTGCAATCCCCATGAATGAATTAGAGAAAACATCATGAGGATGAGACAATTGGAAAGTGGAGAAATGCATCTGACACATCAACTTGGTCATCCACAGACCAGGTTGGAAAGACCAGTGGAGAGAGAAAAAATCCTCCATCTGAAACTGTGGGATGACCATGAAATGAATGATGGAAGAAAGGTTGATAATCAAGTACCAGTCTCTGGTGTTTTTAAAAACAATAAAAAAACAGGAGTAATAACCTGAAGAAAGGTTATGAGCTTGCTCAGAGGTCTGTTTCTCCAATAAATCTGACACTGCCTCATCCAGACAATGAAGGTAGGCCGGATCTGATTGGTGTTGAAAGGCAAAAGGCTGGGAAAAAAAAGTGGGAGAGGGGGGGGAGAGAAAAGTGAAGAGAAAGGTTATTGGAAAGAACTTGAGTATCCCATTTGTGAGCAGAGAAATGTGTCCATAAGGCTCCCACAGATTCTAAGCTAGCTTGATGGCCACTGGTAATTAGGTTGGCAGGTGATATGTCAGAAAGAAGGAGGTTGAAGGTCAGGATACTGGAATGGAATGGGGAGTATAAGAAGAGCCAAGGCATGGACAGAAATGGACGGATGAGATTAGGACCAATGGGAAGCTGGTGAAGAAAGAGAGAATTGATGGTGGCCAGCTTCAGCCTGTGATTCAAAGGAATCAGGGACACCACCAAAACCTCTGGACAAAGAAAAGAGGCAAAATGAAGGTCCCAGAGGAAGAGGTGGATTTGAGAAAGTGGGGTGTCTCTTCTGAAAAGGTAATAACAATAAAGCAACCAAGTGAGAAGAGAAATGACAGAGGAGGTGAAATGGGCCAATGAGGGAAAAGGAGCACCCTAAAGTCCCCAGAAAAGTCATCAGGGAAAAAGTGAAGCACTTTCATAATAAGGTGACAGAAGGAGAGGTATCTAAGAAGGGTAGTGAAAAGGCTCAAAGTTTGGAAAATTGGGCACTAGATAGTGAAACAGCTCATAATGAATCTACTCCACTCATTCCACACAGAACAAAACAAAAACAACTGGCCAGAGAGACTCCAAATATTGGGTGTCAAAGAATAGGAAATTTGAGTGACCATAAACAAAAACATAAGAATAAGTCAGGCAAGTGGGACAAAGCATAATGTTGCTGGAACAAAGTTGATCTAGAAACGAAGTGGCATGTACATCATTGTATAAGTAGAGGGGAAAACAAAGAAATTATAAGAGGAAGGGTTGTGTAAAAAAAGAATGGGAAAAAACAGAGGATATGGAAGAGAGAGAAAGAACTGTACGTACCTGAGTAATAAAATTATGAAAATCTGAAAAAGATTGAGATTGTTCTTCAGTAGGTAAGAATGTTCCCAAAGTAAAACAAAAGGAGAAAAATAATTGCTTAAATTTGCCCACCTCAACTTGAGGCTCTAAAGAAGGGATAAAGAAGTGAGTGGAAGGGACTACAGTAGAGGGTCCTGACTGCACCGTGGACCCCACCACACACTGGACAATTGCTGTCACATCTTCCACAGATAAGAAACTTCTCACTGAATTACTGATAATTTGTTCAGTGTGAGTAATAACTTCACTCACATCAGCAGAAGAAGAGTTCACGTTATACTGTGAATTCATATTAAGTATGTATAAACTCAATTACGTAAAAATTGGAAATCAAAAAAGTGGCAAATATCAGCAAACCCAAATATGTCTGTAAATGACAGTACTAAGGAAAATAATGAAGTTTCATGATTGCAAATGTAGAGGACATCACTGTGCATGGAGGTGTGTTGCACTCCTATTGGTGTAGGTTCTGCTGCACGATTATGTCATTATGTATTGGTTCAAATTCACTTGATTTTATGTAAGATTATTTGGGAGTTTTCACAAGGCTGGTAGCTAGCAAATCTCTTTGGAAAATTGTGCAAACTCAAGAGAGAAATAAACCCTTCTGTGTGTGGAGTAAAGTATTTGTTTTGGAATAATTTCACCAATAAATATAATTAGAGCTGGGTGGTTAGAGGTATTATGCTAATTGGTTAACTGACAGCCCCTCAATCGATTATTATAGTGGTCCAAAGCAAATATATATATATATATAATAAAAAAATAAAGATTGGAAGTGGGTGCTGCTAGCCAGTTGTCTTCCCTCTATCAGCAGATCAAGAAGAAGAAGAAACATTGTTGGTGGATAATGTCAGACAGTTGGCTTCCCTATAATCAGCAATTCAAAAAGGAAAAGTTGACAATTAGTGCTGCCAGCTAGTTCCCTTTCCTCTAGTCAGCAGTTTAAAAGTAGTGACAGTGACAGACAGCCTCAATAGATTTGTCATACATAACAAAAACAACTTAGAAAGCTAAACTGGGCAGAGCACAGATAGCCCATTCTATGGTTTTGTGATTAACAACAAAGCATAATTGCAATATTTCGATTTCTTGGATAGTTGGAATAATTGAAATTACTAATAACTGGAAACATTAATTTCAATTAGTTGATTATTTTCATGATAATTGATATAATCAGAATTTCAATTAATTGTCAGAATAATCTAAAACAAATTTATATTAATTGACTTATTCATGATTTTGCTTAATCAATTAACTCAACCAGCTCTAAACACCATGTACTGATGAAAGAAAAAAAGGTCTATTCTATGTAATTACAAATAAATGGTCAAAAAGTGCACACCATTAAGGCTGATGGTGAAAGGTTTAAAACCAACTTATGAGCTGATCATTTTTGATCATCCACCAAATCACTTTAAGGAGTTCATGTATTTTCAAGGTTTTTGATACTTTAGACTTCCAAAGACATTTTTTGTTTGACTGTCTATCAACCAGCCAGTTAAAAGGAGTCTCATATATCAGTTCTGGCTTAACATAAACATCACAAGTCAATCTCAGATCTAGCCACTACTACTAGTAATTTGTCTCCAATACTAGAAAACTAAACCCTTCCAACATTTTTCTCTCTAGATTTGAATGAACTAAGAAGATGGCAAATTTGACAAGAAAAATAGTGGCCAATTCTCATCATTGAGCATTGTAGAAATTATGATGCACAAATCCAATGACAGTGAAGAATCTCATGGATCATGTGTGTTACATAATGATCTTGAGTTACATAATGATTCTAAAGTTTTGTCTGTGCATTCAAGTGTAAATTTTTCATCCAGTCTTCCCCCAGATTTATCATTCTTTAAGCTATCACTACTAGGTGAGTAAAAATTGCTAAAAACTTTGTTCATTTGAATCTGTTAATGTTAAAAACATAACATTATATTCTAAATGATCACAGATCTACTGCTTACATACATCACATATACGAAATCCACATATATATTTTTCAAATCTACTTCCTTTAGCTGTCCATGGTATAAAGATAAACAGGTTTAAATCTGTTTCTAAACACATAGATCTTGAATATTCTTTGGATGCCTGTAACTGTAATAAAAACAGAAACTACAAGGTTCAAGTTTGGTTCTGATATTGTGCTTAAGATATTAGTTGGAAGTACTGCAGTAGCTTTCAAATGTTTATCTGGTGTATCATGGAATGACTCCTCTGGTTATAATGTCACAATATAACAAAGTTCTTCTTCCTTCTAACTTCAAAAGTTAGAATGTATGTGCAGTTTAGTATGTTTTTTTTCTGATAATATGTTAAATTATCATCACATATAGAAAAAACATGATTTCCAAACCTCGTATCATCAAACCTTAACTGAAAAACAATATTTTGAAACACATAGTAGTTTACATATTATCTCATAAGCAATTTGCCAGTTTGGAATTGTACAGATAATTTGAAAAAAAAACAACAAAAAAAACATTGTAATTTAAGGCCACATTCTCGATGTAACATTCTTACAATGCTGTATTTTCTACCTGTTTTTCTTTTGATGACAGACTGGACCATTCATTACCAAGAATTTTAGTTACTTCTCCAAATGAAATGTTTGGGTGAGTTTCTTTCATCTGTTGACGTCTTTCACTTAAGAAAATTACATAGCTGTAGACAAAAAGTCAAGAGTAATTAGGAAAAAAATATTTATGATAGCTTCACTCAATTAAATGCAATCAAATTACAACATATACTTGTACAATAAACACTACTGTATACATCCGGCCTAATTGTATGCTTTGTTGGAGTTACAATGAAAAAACATGTAAAGCATACTTATCCTTTAAACCTACTGTATATTTTTTTCTAAACTCACTAATAACATATATATTATGTCTTAAAATAAAGAAACTGATCTTTTCATTAAACCATCTATTTGAACTTATACTAAGATTACTATTCCTCAAGTTGACTTCAAGATTCCAGTAAGCTGATACATCTTTAGTTTCACACTTACATGTATAATTAAACATCAATGAGTTATAAAAAATATTTGATATCTTTATAGTTGGGTTAACAGCCCATTTCTCAAGATAGGTTAGATAATGTGTTGTACTTGTTTAGGCAGTGAAAAAAAAATATTTTGCTCCTCGAACCCAACTCATTTACAAGGAGATTTGTGGGGGTTTTTCTCCAGAAAAATTCGATAGATAATTTGGTGCAAGTATGTAACTTTTTTAAAAATTGTTACTTATTATATAAAGATTAAATAAAAATAATTTCTTTTTTATGTGGTATAATGTAAGACTAAAAAATAATCTATTAGTTGAAGTGTACTACAGACTTCTCCTAAGGTACCTGTTGAAATTCAATGGTATAGAATAGAAAATATTTAAAGATGTTGTTTGTAATTCCTATATTTTTACAACTGACTTTACATGCCTTCTGATAATGATCTATGCATTGTTCAATTTAAGTAACCTCTGATCTGACCTCACCCATGCAAAAATGCAAGTTACAATATTTTTAAACCACTACCATTCTATAAATTTATCATGCTGAATTTTTCTACATAAGGGGGGTAAAACAAAATTTCTTATAAGAAACGTGGTACGATGTCACCCTTATATTTTCAAACTTTTTTTATTAAATTCTACAATTTTTTTCAGGCTGATGGGAATTGACCAAGAAAAAAAAAAGCTTTAATTTGTGCAAATCCTCAGGCCAAATTAATTCAGTGGATCATTAAAAGTTCAATTCCATGTGATGACTGAGTTATGACTGTCCAGACAAAGTGAAAAAGAATAAGAGACTGAAGATAATTGGAAATACAGAAAGCTACATCAAACATCACATGGAGGCAAAATGAAAATATTTTGGCTATACATGATGACATCACCATGTGATGATAACCCTCCACCAATAGGAAGGTGACACAACTTCCTTGCTCAGTAACTCCCCTCAAGCATTTGAGCTTGAAATAAGTTCATTCTTACATAAGGCAAGAAGAAGTGCAACGGAAGTGGGGAAAATGGGTAGGAAGGTGTGCAGGGGTATCTTTGAAAATATTAATTTCCCAGATGATACCTCACCTCAGCAAGTACAATAGTTAAAATCCCACTGGTGGAGGGGCTGGTGTAAACACTAAACCTTGATGAGCTCTCTTCAGGAAGTGGCCAAAAGGAAAGCCCATGGAATGTGACAGCTGATGGCAGTGCTCCAGAGGGACACATCCATGGGAGACTGCATCTCATCTTGACCAAGGTATATTCTCTACCTGGAAGGAAACTGAGGAAAAAATAAAAGAGCCCCAAGTGTTGCAGGGATGGGCATAATTTTAGCATGACCAACCGAGCACCAGCACAAGTGGCCAACAAGCCAAGAAGTGTAGTGTGGTTAGGGCATGATCAGATTCTACAGTGTGTCTTATCTCAACTCAACTGGACAGACAGAAGAGGGGATATTACTGTCATATGCTCTTGATTCACCAAAACTGGAGAAACTCAAGAGTTCTGGAAGAAATAGTTATGCTGAGTGAAATGAGACTGAAGTCAGATACCAATGAGAAGCAAGGGAGATATTGCAAAGCAAAGAGGATGTCTCTGTTTGTAGGTATGGAAGACAACAGACCATAAGAGATGGCTGGAACAATATGTGAACATTGTTGATACACCCAAGAAATGCAGTCAGTTGGGTGGTCAACTGAGTGTTAAAAGACGAAGTGGAAGAAAGTGAAATTAAGCCAATCATTCACACAAAAGTGAAGCTCAATGTTGAGTTAATGGAGAAGACTAGCAAACAGAAAGCATATGGAGTCAAAGTCAAACTGAAGGGTATTTAACTGATAAACTAACTCTGATGGCAAGAATGAAGAAAGTGATGGATGAATAGTGAGATGAAGATAAGCATTAAGTATATCCACCTTCAGCATCCAATTGCTGTAACAAACTAATGTTTTTCCCACTTTCCAGGCAAAGATTGAGTTAAGACAGAACTATGACAAGTCTCCTATATTCTGATTTCTTTGGAACCACAAAGAATTGAAAGTAGAATATCGGGAGAAGCACAATAAACAGTTTCAAATGCTCCTTTCTGAAGACTTTCTGAACCAGAACTTATAAGCAAATTAGATCAGAAGGAATAGAAAAAGACACTGTATGAACAGAAAGACAAGAATGACAAAAATTAAGACTGAATGACTGAAGGATCTTTCGAACCCAAGACTCTCAAAGATGAGCACGTGATCTGAGACAACCCCCAATACTTCAGATGGGGATTCATTTAGAGCAGAAAAGTTAATGAGTTGGTCCAGAAGACCATCTTTGTTTTTTCTATGTTTGGTCACTAGGTAGGGTCAAAAAGAGTGAGTAGAAGTAGTTGGTGTCGATATAGTTGATGAGGAGACAAAGCATGGAGATGAAAATTACTTGCTGATCATCTCAAAGAGGGATGCCAACCAGAAGTCAAGATACTAAAACACTAATCAGCTCCTGTTGACATGATTCTCTTGAACAGGAAATGACTTTGGATGAAATTCCTGCAAAGACAAAATAATACAGGAAAGAAGCTTTCGTGAGGTCAGCTGAAATGCAACACAGCACGACAGGCTAAGATATCAAAGGAACAAAGTAGCAATGTGGTAACAAAAATTGTATCACTATAGCAGATTGCAAGATCTTAGAGTCAAGAAATCGAGAAGTAAGATGAGTAGTGCAAAATGATCCCTCTAAAATGTAAATGATGAATGCGAGGAATGTGAAGACTAATAAAATATTGCTGATTTACAAAAGCATCACCAATGACCCAAGTATCAGAAAATGGAAGATAAAAAGATTCAATAACTGAATCATCCAACATGACATTACAGCCTTCAGGCATAACAGAAATTGGTTAAAGATTTATAATAGAACATAACTGACCAAATATATAAAAAAGAGAGAGAGAGAAATAAGACCAGCAGAAGCTTCTTTAGGACTAGGGCTAGCTGACAAATCCTATTCTGAAGGTGAATAGGTCCGAGCAAAAGATTTGTCTCATTCATCATCATGTAAAAAAGGGGGGGGTATTTGACAACTTGAACATCCACATGATTGTGAAACTTATGGGGAAATAAGCAGACAATTCAGAATTAACAGCCCAAATACATTTATCAATGGAGACACAGGATCTAGTGCAAGCTAAGGCAGATTGCATGATTAAGTTGTCTCAAAAAATGTTGTAGAATTTCTGATATTGATAGAAGCAATTGCATCAGAGTTAATATTGACTTGAGAATTCATAGTCAGCAAAGTTAACAGAGTGACTGTCAACAAGCAAATGTGGGTTATGGCTGGAAAGCATGCAGAGCTTATGCACATTCTCCTAGTACAGGTTTAAGTCACATAGCATGTGGGAGAGTGGAAAACTTTGGGAACATTCAGATCTGAAGGACACATGATTGTTAACAGCATGAGAGCAACTCAACAGTGAAAGGTTTTTAGTGTTCAGAGTATGTCTACCTGATTTGAAATTGTGTATAGCAATCCAGTTTGCTATACAAACTCTTAAAAGTATCTTATTGGATTCAAACAAATTTTGGTTTGCAAAAGTTGTATGACCTTCAGTTACAGAATGTCTATACAATTTAGCTTTTCAAATCTCATATATATAGATGAACATTGTATCAGTCTTAACTAACAGAAATTTGCTGGTTATTTTGCTCTGTGTTGATGTACAGTTTTGGCAGTTCAGAACAGATACAAAATACCAAAACCATATATGTAAATCTATCTATCTATATCTAACTTTAGTGGTTATTTTAAAACAATAATCTTGGTTTTTATGTTTATTTCTTAAAACTATGTAATTAAATTATTTGAAATAAAAGTTTCACAATATGTAATATTATTACATAATTAATTATTCATAAGTTCATGGTTTATATGTAACAGGATGTGGCAAAAATATATATTAATTTCCATTAGCTATAAACTTTGTTTCGTTTCTACCACTACATAATTTGTTGAATGTAAACATCAAGGAAGCAGAAATTCATGATAGAAAATATTCATGAATACTCAAAATTAAACAGAAATACAAGTACATCTGATAATAGATGATTTTACTCTTACAAGTGTTAGGAAACTTATGCTATAGTCCTCCAGTGAGTCACCAGTACATTTATGAACTTAGAATACAAACATTCCGGGTTCAATTCTCCATGGTGGATAGGAGTCAAGATAGTCTATTATATGGCTTTGTACTAAAACAAACAGATCTATGCTATAATAAAGAGTTTATAATAATGGCTGGAGATGGCTTGAATGGGTAATGAAGAAAAACTTTAATATAAGTTCAACATAACAGCAAATGTACAAAGAGTACAAATGTACACTTACAAAGAGTTTATAAGACTGTCATTCTCATAGAAGATAACAAAATAATTTACATCTGTTCAGTTACATATTAAGCTTATTGTACATATAAGATTTGTTAGGAAAAGGTTACAGGTTTAAAATGAAGAGGAACAGTCTAATATTTCAAATGTAAAACAAAAGAAAAAAGAAATTCATTGCTCACTTAGAATAATTACCATTTACAATTCTTGTAGCAAAGTCACTTGAATTATACCTTCTCAGCAACAAAATATGACAAAAACACCACAGGCTGGCACAATACATGCAGACATGTGTAGGGATGGAAATTTTTTCAAGGCTTGTGGCATGAACAAGAAATTCCATGGCAGTTGTGTGTGAGGTAATAGCTCTTAGTGATGCAGAGAGTTAAGTAATGTTTCTGAAAACCATTTTTGTAAATTTAGCATATAATCTAAGAATTAAAACATATATGACAAATATCAAACAATGTTTAAGAGGATTCTTTTCAAAAATGATTGGCAAACGTCACTGTAAATAACCATGGATTGACCAGTTTAATCATTTTGTAAACATAAATTTGAAACATGTTGTGAATACACATAAAGCCTCACTGATATTTCATGTTCGTAAACAAGATGCAGGTAGGTATTATACAGAAGTAACTATACATAAATAATATTTTCAAGATTTATCAGTGCAAGCCAGCAGAAATTTTAAATATTCATAAAAGTTACTGTTTCAGACATAAGGAATAGTTCAAACTGTGTTATATGATTAGTTTATCAGAAATTACACATTACAGGTTTTCAAAACTCATATAATATGTACATGTAATTTTACAAAAATTTGAGAAATCAATTTATGGTATGAAATCATAATCTAAACCATTATTTGACAAAAGTTTGTGTATGTGTATGTTACGAACTTAGAGCTACTTAGGATAAACGAATGTAGTTTCATGCTTCAATTTGAAGTCATTCTAGAAAGAAAAAAGGTTAATTTAGGTTTATTTTGATTTTTTTCTGGTGGTTACGAGGTTGGTCAAATTGACTGATCTCCTCTTGAGATAGGGTAAAGAAAATAACAGATAAACTATAAAGTTTTACTGAAAAAAACACGTTTGAAATGCATTTAGGAGGTTTTAGGGATTAAACAGAGGAAATATGAGATTTATAAGATGAGGAAAAGTATTTGTAAGTTTAACATGAAAATTACTTTGCACACGGACTATTCAAAACAAATATTCAAAATATTCATGGGCAAATCTTTATTTTATTTTATTAAAAATACTTACTAAGAAATATGACTTTTTGTATGTGAAAGAATTATAATATTAACTGCAAGTCTGCCAAATTTTGTGAAGATATACCCACTATATTGAGAGTTATAAGTATTAAACCTATAAAGACTTTAAAAGAGTACAAAAAGGTCACTCAGTCGGTCAAACTGACCGAGCCCTTATTGAAATTGATAATGGATATCCTGAACACTTGATAAAGAAAATAAAGAAGTAAAAGACAAACAATAAGCAGGAAGTAAATTATATACAATACAGCCATATTCTCCCTATGTGAACCTACAGAGAATATGTACTACCAATTTATTTGCAATAGCTCATTATTTGAAAGACTTTTGAGTGAAAGCAAAGAGGAATATGTTATTATACATCAACCATATTATATCTGCCTTATCCAGTGCTGACAAGGCCTTTTGGCCAATACCAGAGTTCATCAGGCCAGCGAGGATACCACAGATACAGTAGTGGTCTAGGCACTTTTTAAATCCTCAAGTGCATGAACAACAATTTGAATGGTGTGAACCAGATTAAATAAATGAAGTATAGTTATTATCAATTTTATTTAGGGCATTTACAGCTCAGAATAATGGGAAGGATTAATAATAATATTATTTATCAATTTCATTTTTAACAACTATTATTTATTTATTATCATTTTTAACAACTATTATTTATTTATTATCATTTTTACTCAAATTAACTTTATAATCATTTAGAAGAACTTGCAAATTTAGTTAGAGAAGATGATCAATAAACTAGAATGGAATAATATAAAAATAATATAGGCACATATACTAGAAAAATAAAGAAAGAAGAAGCATATTATGTACATCTAAGTCACAGGTTCCCAAATGTTCTAAGAAAAATGCCCTCTAGAATATTCCAAATCCTGAAGCCTCCACTTAATAAATTTATAGAGTACCTTAATAGTTTTCCATGATCTAAGTGATAATACAGTCAACCAACTTAGCACATAAATCAGTAAAATCTGTATATCCCTCTTGAAACCATTCTAATAGTTTGTTGATTCAAGTCCTGATGGGAGGAGATCCCACAGGAGTGGATAGCATACCTTTCTTAAAAAATTGACTCAGGATTGAATCCTTGCCCCTGTCACTCATATACAGTTCTTCTCAGGACAGCACCAGATTAGCTACTGAAGATAATGGGAACCTGTGAAAAGACAGCCTTCTAATAAGATCCCAACAGCAACTTTTTAAAACCACATGTGAAATGATAGGGCTAAAGAGGGCAATAGTGTCAATAAAGAGTAAGGAGGGAAAGTGTATCCCCTTAAAAAACCCTCAGGTAATTGGTGGAGTGCCTCAGAAAGATGCATAATGGAAAAGTACTGTAGCAGAGTTGTAAGACAAAGGTGAGAAAATAGACATGGGAGAAATGGATAGGATTATCCAGGATGTATCCCCCACATGAGCAAAAGTGACTCTAACTGCTGGGAGTCGAGAAAAGGCTAATCAACTTCTGAGAAGCCAAAGCATAAAGATCAGAAGTCCATGGAGGGTGAAGCATGCTAACACCAGCCCTCAACTGTGAAACAAAATGCTCATCACGAACCCTGATGTCAGAGGAAGAAAGGAAAACAAGGGACTCTAATGATGGGTATCATGTTAAAAAAGAAACAGAATCATATGAAAACTGTGAAAATGAGGAAACGGAACAAACCTGAGAAAGTATATTCAAAAAGGTAGAGTTAGACCTAGTAGATTTTGTAAGATACGCATAGGAAGACACGGCATAGGTAGGAGGAGGGGAAAAAAAATGTCAAAAAACTTCCTCTTTATGAACAGGTTCAAAAAATGCAGGAGGAATCAAAACAATCTCAGGAGATAAATGATGCCTCTTATAACTATCAATCTCCTGACGAATGGTAGCCGAAAAATCCTCAGTTGAGACCTCCATACCTGAAGCCAGTAATAGCATTCGAAGTAGCAGTAATAATATCAGAAGTTGTAAAACACAAACTTTAGAATTCATCTTAAACCACGAAGAAGTCGAAAATGAGAAGAAGAAAATTCAATAAACAAAGTTAAGTTATTGTGGCAAACTACTATATACAAAACTAATGTACCAAATAAATAGATCAAGTAAATCACTACATTGCGAGAAAAAAAAAAAAAAGAAAGAAAGAAAGAAATGAACATACGAAAAGAGCACAAGTGAAAAATATCTGCACTCTATCACTACCTAACGAGAGGTGATAGTTCAATAGAATGGGATAGAGGAGGCTCAGGAGAGAGTGTTGCACTCCTATTGGTGGAGGGTTGTCACATGATGGTTTGCATATGAGCCACATTGAACCACATTAACCATGGAATACATGGGAGTTCAAAGCTTGTGGCATGTGAAACAATTTTTTTGCATATAGAGAGCAGCACTGAACAAGAACAGCTATACATGTGAGTGGAGGTAATGTACTGTATTGGAAAGACATTATTAAAACTGGTGACACTCCAGCAACAATAAAACACTTTTTGAAAATGGGAACAACCAGTAGATATTTATAAACTTTGGCTTGCTAATAAACACAACTCTTCAGAACATATTATGTACTGTGTAAACTCCTAATGATGTCTTCAGATGTTTATGCTGAATCCAAGCATCTACAATCCAGATAATGACTGTGCTCATTGTTAGCCGTAGGTTGTTGCATCTTGCGAGTTAAATTTACAAATTAAGTAGAAACAAAGAACTTTGAATTTCTTTTAAACTTAAATGAACTTTTAACACCTAATGTTTGCAAAAATATGATTGAAAATTCAAATTTATAAAATAAATATCCTACTTAAAATGAAGGGTAAAAAGTCGGAAATGTTGAAAAGTACATTATGATGAGAACTTCATCTTTTCTATTCATAAAGCAGTTCACTTGTTATATTACAACATAGATTTAACCAGAAAAGGAAACTGAGATATTACACTGATAAATTGCAGATGATATAGCCTTTTTTTCTCTCCATGCTAATGTCTGTATTAAAGATGTAACATTTATTACCTGAGGAACAGTTGTCCACAATTAGTTCATTTTAAAAATATTAACCATTCCAAATAGTCTTAATTATATATATATATAAAAATGAGAAGAAGGCATCTCAAATTACAGAAGGTTATATGGGAAAAGAAAAAAAAAGGGGGGGGGGAGTACATGAATGAAAGGTCTTGGGTTAAAAACACCTAATCTTTTGTCACCCACTTATTTCTTATGCACTAACCCAGTAGATGGAGCTAATGGTGTCTTCACTAATGTTTCTTCCGTTTCCTTTTTTCGTTTTTTCCTTTGGGCCAACCTCCTTTTCTTTTCTACAAAACACAACAGAAAATTCATTTTGAGTATGATGAAAACCACCCCATAAAAAAATAATTGTACATGTGTTGTCGTTTGGTGTGTAAAATAAAACGAGAAAGTATTTCTTTTGGAGAAAATTGCTACACCTTTTTTTACAGGCTTAAAATAAGAACTGACAATATTTTTTCCCTCATATTTTAATATTCTTATAATTTATTTTTCCTTCTAGAATAAAGCATTAATATTATTTCAAAAATTTACTCAAACTTATGCATTTTATTCCATTATTTACCTATAAAACTTTATCATGAAAAATCATTCATAAAATATTGTGAAAAAAGTGGTTTATGCTATTAGCAGAATGATAAGTTTATCCAGAGTACCTTTGTTGTTGTTTCCAAGGAAATTGTTGTAGTTCCTTCAACTACATACAACTAGCAGTGTTTTACAAATAAGTGTTGTAATCTTGTTATTTAAAATTTTCTATTTATGCATTTTAAAGTGGAGATAATTTAACACACACACATGGTGTGTTAAAAAAATCTAATTCATGATATCACTTAGAACTATGCAACTGAACATGAAAGGATAGAATCAAGCAGTGCAAATAGTACACTGTATTTCTCTTATCGAAAGCAGTGTAGCATCTGTCAGAGTCTCACTTATATTTTGCTTATTTCTTATTATGAAATTATGCAAAATTTACAATATTGTGCACAAAATAATGTATTATTTAAATTTGTACTGGAAAATGATATCCGTAATAAAGATTGCCAAAGTAAAGTCTAACATGAATATATTCTTTCAAACAGAAATACTGAGCAGAAGATGCTCTTGGAGCTAATGTGTATCAACTGTTTGACTCTACCTATCATTTTTTTAACTATAGCAAACATACTTACTGCTGCCATTGTTTGAATAAGATTTGTTTTACAAGTTTATTCTGTGGCATGAGTTATTTCCATGAGGACTAGTTTGAGCTCTTAACATATCATCTTGATAAAAAAATTGTAGGTAAAGGCAATGATATGTTATGAGAAAGTTCACTGGGTGTGATAAATTGAAGTTAAAATTGTGGTGTGTGTTTAATTAGATAAATTTCACTACATGTATTAGTAGCTTGAAAAGTAAACTCAGAATTCTGTAATCCTAACAAGAAGTGTTTTATTTGTCATTCACTACAATGTATCATGTCTTTTTTTATAATAGCCATACATATATATACATATATATAAAGAACTATAAGCATTTACTGTTTCTGTTTAACCCAATGTGCATGGACTTGGTCCACTGGTCCAACCCTGCATTGGAGAAGGAATATTGACTATATTTCTGCATTAAATATGTGTATCTACATGAAATGTAGCAAACCTTTAGCAAAATGTCCAAGTCTGTTGTACACAAAATATCAGATGAGTTACAAAAATATGTGAATTGATGAGTCAGTCTGGCTCAGAATCTGACAAGTTAAAGTGTAAAGTGACGTTCATGTGAAGAATAGATACTTTTGCCTGTCGTACAATTTGGATATTGTATTTGCATAACGTATAAAACCCCGAAAGTGTATAACTAGTGTTTCTCAGTATCCTTGTATAATATAAGTAGTGTATCCTCCTCTACCATGAGCCGATGCTAAATCAAAAGGTTGAGTAAAATGAACAGCTGATAACTCTGACACCAAATACATAATACTATGTTGAGTGGCACTCTGTAAAAGGCTATAGCTTTGCATACTTAGGCCCCAACCCATGCACTTAGGGTTAATGATGTGTTTTAGTAATATGACTCGTAAAAACAAAAACATTCATGAAAAAATTATATATTTTAGATTTCATTTACTAGATTATCTTATTATCTTTCTTAAAACAAATGGATAAAAGTCTTTTAAGCTTTCTTAATTGAAACTTAAAACCAATGTGACTATAGTGTAGATTTAGAATACTGATGGAATATAAAGTTTGTGCAAATATGTGTCATTCATTAGTTTATTTTCATGAATTCTTCATAGATATTAAAAGTTAACTGTGCTTCATCACATTTTAATATGCTTGAGATATACATGTAATACTTCTGAAACAAAACGTGTCACTAGGGTGTAGGGTATAGTTAGTGTATGAAATAGACTATAAATGAGAAACTTGACAACATTAGTTTCAAATCAAAAATATTTGATCAAATATTTCAAATCAAATAAGTATTTCCCAAAATTTTTACAATAATTGTATTTTTCATCTTTTTAATTTTCTTGAAATATTACTTGAAATATTCAACGCTTGTATTTGAACAAAAACTTGCACCTATTTACTTTTTTCAAAATGCTAATTCAAACTTAAAATTAATTTTAAACCCTAACCTAGATTTATAAAACTTACCACACGTTTTTAAAAACTCATATCATTCTAGAAACTAAAACATTTAAGCTGAAGTAATAATTTTAATTCAGAGATTGCTGAAGGTACATGTACGTTTTATCTTTCATTTGTCAAACTTGGAATATATTTGAATTTATGCTACACAATGAATGTGCATGATGTCCTTCCTTTCCTTTCCTCATTTTTTAAAAACCCTTTTGGATAAAATGTCTGTGATGAACAAAAGTTGACATACTATACCACTGATAAAGTTTTGAACCTAAAATATCAGAGATTATTTTTTTGACACACAAATAGCACAGGACAATTAACTCACTTACCCATGAATATTTATTACATTGAGTAGTATCAGGTAAAGTAATCGATTAATGAAGATTACAATTAAAGCTATTAATGACACAAAAATACTTAACTAATCAAATTAGCCATTTTTAAATTTTTGTATATAATAAAATGTTTAAAAAGAAACTAAATGTTTCTTGTATATATTTTGAATAAAAATTAATGAATATTAGAACTTGTCAAGAAAAATATAAAACTTATAGTCAATGTTACTTCATCCTGCCTAAACATTCAACATCAGATAAAACACTAATTCATGCATTATCTATTTGTCAGTATTCAGTTCATCATATCTCTTTCTTCCCTATGAATTACCTACCACAAAACTTTTAAATTTGGCATGAAAAAGATTATACTGACAATAAGTGAACTATAGGTGTAAAAACTGCTCTAACCAGCAGGTACCCAATTTGACACTTTATAACCCAAAATTACAGAGACAAAAAAGCTATTGTTAAAATCATAGCAAAAATAAATTTAGCATAGTAAGGAGAAAATGTATATGTTATCCTCAAGCCAGTGACCTTGCTGAAACTGGATGAATCCTCAATGTCTATTTTTAGACATCTAACAACATCTTCTAAAAATAACTGACAACTACAGCAGATTCTTCATCTTGTAACAAATGATAGGGAGAAAATTCAAGACAGGATGCCAATCTCCCATGTATTTGAGAACTATAAACAAATGAGGTTAATATCATAGACCTGGGTCCTAGACCTCCTTGACAGTATCTTTGTTTGAAAATAAAAGATCTTCAAATATAACATATGACTCAAAAGCACATAAAGAAATATGTATAAAAGAAAAAAAAAAGATGTTGAGGTAAAAGACTGAGGACCAGACCTTGATTAAGAAATAGAAAAACCCAAATATCATGTTTATAAGTTTTCCAAACAGATATGACACAACCTAAATGTCCTCTCTCTAAATCTTTACAAAGGGTGGCCAGTGTTCTTGGGGGAAACCTTATGAAGAAACTCTGTTCACTCAATCATGAGTATTTGATCAAAATTTCATTTGCATAAACCAGAATAAATCAGTGACATGTGATGAACTGAATGATAGATTGGACTTAATATTTATTTTTAATATCACAATCTTAGTTCATGTTCTTGCATTACCTAAAAGTCTAATACTAATAGCTCTTTAGTGTTTGTGATAATGAGTAATATAATCATGTTTTGTCCTTTGTCTTTAGTCATGTATACATAGATAATTTTTATAAAATTTTGTGCAGATGTTCTGTGTGTAGTTACAACATCCTTTTACAACAGATATGGGAAGTTCATATACTTCTGCTAATCCTGTACCTTAAACAATGGTAATATATTGCAACGATTATTCCATATGATGTACAATCACTTAGCCCTCTTTTTATGTCATGCTCTCACTTTCAGTGGGTTCATACTTATTCCAAGGAATGGAACAAAGACATTGAATATGTTTAATAGGAATGATCATTGACTTAGGCAATCTAAGAACTACAGAATATTGCACTAGATCTTTAGTTTGACTTTACACTGTACATTTCATTATTCTTGGTCTCTTCTTTTTCTTGTGTGTTCATAGTAGGTAGTCTAAGGATTGCAGGATATTGTACTAGAACCTTTGTCTGACTTAATAGTGTGGAATTTCATTATTGTTGACATAATCTTTTACTCTTATATGTTTTTACTTTGTTTCAACATCCAGTTAATATTCAAATGTGAACTGGAAACTGGCCAGTTAAGTGAAAATTCACACCCTGTATGAATATAGATTTTGTTCTATTTGTAAACTTTTGTTTACTTGTATTTCTTCACTGGAAACCATTTTTCAGATTCTTAATGCCTTTCTGGCAGATATTAGTATACATGAGAACCACAAAGTTATCAAGTTACATGGCGGTACCATAATCAAAGGATTTTTTATTGTGGAGTATATTTTTAATGTTTCAATTTCTATTTGAATCACTGGTGATGTAAAGTTTGTACATTGTGATAAGAGAAAAGCATTTTTTAGCCTTATGGAACTTAAGGTGGTGAGGCAGTAGAGACATGATCTAAGATTGTGGCAAAAACTAAGAATTACACTCTTAGAGCATTTGATGGCCATTACGAGAGCTGTGTCTACATTCTCAAATATTTGATACTGGGCCTAATTGGTCTAGCACTTGATGTGCTAGAACATTTAGATGAGGAGAAAGTTGACAACTGGGGTACAGTTCTTAATGAGTCACACAATAAATTTGATCCTGTGCAGAACTAAGCAATCAATATGGTTTAAATTTGATAACGAGGAACCCACTTTGAGACTAA